ACATGAAAGTTGCTCAGAACGACGAGACGAATCCGAATTCGCAGCCCGATCGTCTGCCACACATCCCTAGCATAGCAAACACGCAACTTTCCCACTCCAGTTCATCTGTCCGAAAACGCGAAACACCGGGAATACTTTCCCGGATGTTTTCCCCCTTCACCGGTACCACCTCGTACCGCGTTAGGGCACCCCTAGCACCAATACTTGTCATGCCATGCATCGCTATGCATCTGTTTGCTTAATATTTATTGTTTCTTCCCCCTCTTCTCTCGCTAGACACCGAGACTGACGCCGCTGCTATACAGTACGACTACAGTGTTGACGACCCCTCTCTCTTGCCAGAGCAACCAGGCAAGCCCCCCCCCCCCTTGATCACCAGATATCGCCTACTCTCCTCTATACTGCTTGCATTAGAGTAGTGTAGCATGTTACTGCTTTCCGTTAATCCTATCTTGATGCATAGCCTGACCTTGCTACTACTGTTGTTACCTTTACCTGCAATCCTAATGCTTAGTATAGGATGCTAGTTTATCATCAGTGGCCCTACATTCTTGTCCGTCTGCCATGCTATACTATCAGACCGTGATCACTCGGGAGGCGATCACGGGTATATACTATATACTTTATATATGATACATGTGATGACTAAAGTCGGGTTGGCTCGAGGAGTACCCGCGGTTGATTCACGAATTGGGGGTTGGAAGGACATACTTTCCTGACAGCCCTCTGTGTGGATCTTTGTGGTGAAGCGACAGGGCAGGTTGAGACCACCTAGGAGAGAGGTGGGCCTGGCCCTGGTCGGCGTTCGCGGTTATTTCAAGATAACAAGTTTAACGAGATCTTGGTATTTGATCTGAGTCTGGCTACTGGCCTATACGCACTAACCATCTACGCGGGGACAGTTATGGGCACTCGACGTCGTGGTATCAGCCGAAGCCTTTGTGACGTCAGCGATTGAGCGGTGCGCGCCGGATTGGACCGTAAGCCTCCTAGTGCATTAAGGGGGCTAGTTCTGTTTCCGGCCGCGTTCGCAACGTGCAGGTGTGCAACGGGTGATGGGCCCAGACCCCTATGCCATAGGATTTAGACCGGCGTGCTGACCTCTCTGTTGTGCCTAGGTAGGGCTGCGGCGTGTTGATCTTCCGAGGCTGGGCATGACCTAGAAAAGTGTGTCCAGACAAAGGGGATCGAGCGTGTTGGGAAATGTGGTGCACCCCTGCAGGGAAGTTAATCTATTCGAATAGCCGTGATCTTCGGTAACAGGACGACTTGGAGTTGTACCTTGACCCTATGACAACTAGAACCGGATACTTAATAAAACACACCCTTCCAAGTGCCAGATACAACCGGTGATCGCTCTCTCACAGGGCGACGAGGGGAGGATCATCGTTAGGATTATGCTACACGATGCTACTTGGTGAACTTACTATCTACTCTCTTCTCCTGCTGCAAGATGGAGGTTACCAGAAGCGTAGTCTTCGAAAGGACTAGCTATCCCCCTCTTATTCCGGCATTCTGCAGTTCAGTCCACATGTGATACCCTTATTCCATTTGATACCAATGCATATATATGTAGTGTAGCACCTTGCTTGCAAGTACTTTGGATGAGTACTCACGGTTGCTTTGCTCCCTATTTTCCCCCTTTCTATACTCGATTGCTGCGACCAGACGTTGGAGCCCAGAAGCCAGACGCCACTGTCGACGACGACTACTACTACTCGGGAGGTGCCTACTACTACGTGCAGCCCGCTGACGACGACCAGGAGTAGTTTAGGAGGATCCCAGGCAGGAGGCATGCGCCTCTTTCGATCTGTATCCCAGTTTGTGCTAGCCTTCTTAAGGCAAACTTGTTTAACTTATGTTTGTACTTAGATAGTGTTGCTTCCGCTGACCCGTCTATGATCGAGCTCTTGTATTCGAGCCCTCGAGGCCCCTGGCTTGTAATATGATGCTTGTATGACTTATTTTATTTGTAGAGTTGTGTTGTGATATCTTTCCGTGAGTCCCTGATCTTGATCGTACACGTTTGCGTGTATGATTGGTGTACGATTGAATCGGGGGCGTCACAGCGAGTCACCAAAACTACTCGTGTATTTGTGCATGTTGTGAGAAGCAATAAAGAGAGTGAGACAGAGAGGGGCCGAGGGATTCAGCTCCAACACGGGGAGAGAGAGATGTGGTTCAACTAAACTTCAGTGCTGGTGTTCTATATGTATGAGATACTAGCACTAGTAGAAAAAAGGCCTATTTGTCTTAGTTTCAGAGGGCCTTTAGTCCCGGTTCTAGAACCGGGACTAAAGGGCCGGTACTAAAGGCTCCCCCTTTAGTCTCGATTCTGTTACGAACCGGGACTAAAGGCCCTCCACATGGCCGCTGTCTGGAGCTCCACCTTTAGCTCCGGTTGGTAACACCAACCGGGATTGAGGGGAAATTTTACGATTTTTTTATTTTTCCTGATTTTCAAATTTTTGATTATTTTACTATTTAATCTCTATTCATCCCTCGTCACTGCTCAATTTAACCTCTAATCTCTAATCATCCCTCATCATTCCAAATTATCTAACTTTCCGGCCGGTCACCCATCCTCTCACTACTCCAGCCTGAGCACGCTTAATTCCCGGGTTCTATTCCCCCTCGTTTTCAAGTCTGCACTTGTTGTTTTCCTGACAATAGTAAGATGTCATTCCTATTAACCCTCAGGAGTTTAGCTTGAGCATGAAGTCACATGTTTCACTCTTTGAGTTTGAAACTATTATTCTTAAAAGCAATAATTATTTAGTAACACTAATATTTCTAAAATAAGTAGTTTGATCATTGTTTGACCACAGTTTGACCAGATTTGACCAAAATTCAAAAAAACTGAAATAATTATTTAGTAACACTAATAATCTTGAATAATTATTTAGTAGCACTAATACTTTTTGAATAAGTAGTTTGACCATACTTTGACCAGATTTAACAAAAATCAAAAAAACTGAAATTTGAGCATAACTTTTTTCCTTTTAGAATTTGAGGATTCTAAACATTTGCAAAACGGCCTACGGCGGCCAAAATCGGATGCGGATTTTCGTGCTGAACATTTTGATATATTATACGTTTTTTCCGACATCTTATGCAAAAGTTATAGCCGTTTTACTTTTCCATAACACTTTTTTGCAAAACATGTTCAAATTTAAGTTTTTAAATTTTCCTAACTATTAGATGTAGTAATATAACTACATCTCGAATGATTTATTTTTTGAAGTTTTTATCATTTTCTTTTGTTTTATTAAACTGAAATGGCGATAACAGGGCGGGCGGTAGGGAGGGGGGTAGAGTTTGTGACACGAACCCCTTTAGTCTCGATTTGAGACATGAACCGGGACTAAAGGGCATCACACCCTTTAGTCCCGGTTCGTGTCTCAAACTGGGACTAAAGATTAGACATTTAGTCGCTCGAACCGGGACTAATGCCTTTAACCGCTCGAACCGCATTAGTCCCGGTTCGTAATGCAACCGGGACTAATGTATATATTAAGCTGTGACCAAAACCCTATTTTCTACTAGTGTAGCAACAAAGTTTCATTACTAGTACTCCCTTTGTTTCTTTTTAGTCTGCATATAAGATTTGGTCAAAGTCAAAGTTTATAAAGTTTGACCAACTTTATAGAAAAAATATCGACATCTACAATATTAAATCTATATGGTGTGAAAATTAATTTCATAATGCATCTTACAATATTGATTTCATATTATGAATCTTGATATTTTTTTATAAACTTAGTCAAAGTTAACAAAGTTTAATTTTGGCCAAATCTTATATGCAAACTAAAAAGAAATGGAGGGAGTAGTAGTTTCGTGTGTGTGACGGGACATGGGACATCTCAGAGAGGAGCTTTGCTTTTAAGTAGTTAAGTGATTCAACTACAACCTTGTCTTATGTGCGAGCTCGTGGCTCGTATATTTACTTGTTCGCCAGCATCTTCTCTGAAGAATTAGGTTGGTTAGAGTGGAGAGTAATTTAGACTAGTGTCATATGCATGACACTAGTTTAAGTTACTATCTTCATAGTGCAAAGTAATATAGTACTAGTGTCATATGTGGTCTTATTTAATAGTTTGTAGACTCATGTTGTTTTGGAAAGCGCTATGTTACAGTAACATATTATGTTAGGTTGGTCATAGTGAGGAGTAACATATACTAGTATCATGCATATGATACTAGTGTATGATACTACATCCATAGTGCATAGTATCATAAAGTAGTATGATAGATGGTCTTATTTATTGTCATGCATGACACATAGTAGCATAATATTTATTATGTTACGGTATCTACCTATATTACTATGACCCTCTCTCTTTTCTTTAATTTCCTGCCACGTAAGCATTTTGCAAGTCACAAGTATATGATACTAGTTATGTTACCCCCACTATGGCCAGCCTTACTACTTCTCATTAACTACTTGATACATAAGCAAAAATTTCTCGAGGTACACTATGTTACTACCTAAGTTACTTCCATTATGACTGGCCTTACTTCCTGCACTCGCGGTCGCGACAATGTGGCGCGGAGAGGCGCAGACTAGCATGCATGCGGGCGCGGAGTGCTGAACTGCTGGAACGAGAGAAAGTGTGTGTGCCAGCATCTTCTTGGCGGGCGGCGGGCGCTGCGGCACGGCGACGAAGACGCCGGTCAGGTCGCGAGGCACCGGGTAGAAGAAGAGCCTCTGCTGCAGCGGCGCAGCTTCCTCGTTGGCGCCGGCGCCGACTTCCGCGGCGTGGGCGGGCACACCGTCGCCGGCATCATACGCTGTCGGCCTTCATAGGCGCGGTGAAGCTGTCCTCGTCGCCGGCAGTGGCGCTATACTTGCAGCCGTCTCGCGGCCCGATTCCTTCACCCGTGGCTGACGGCGTGGCCAGGCCGATCACATCGACGCCGAGGTCTTGCTGGAGTGGCGCCATGGAGTCGCTTGGACGCTTGCCTTGGGAGTGACGCAGGCGATGTCGGCGGCAGCATCGTCACGTGCCTAGAGGCACATATGACTCCGCTATATGCGCCCGCATCCTCTTGGCGGGCGGCGGGCACTGCGGCACGGCCACGAACACGGTGGTCAGATCGCGCGGCACCGGATAGAAGAGCCGCTGCTGCAGCGGCGCCCGCTTCCTCGTCGGCGCCGCAGCCGTTTTCCGCGGCGCCGGTGGGCACACAGTGGCCGGCACCAGCGTGCTGTCGGCTGTCGTCGGCGTGGTGAAGCTGCTCTCGTCGCCTGCAGCGGCGCAGCCATCTCGCCGCCCAATTTCTCCGCCCGTGGGCAGCGGCGTGGCCGTGGAGAAGCCGACGCTGTCTTCCTGCAGTGGCGCAATGGGCAGCATGGCCATGGAGTCGCTTGCCTTCGGTGTGAAGCAGGCGTTGTTGGCGCTGGCGGCAGGGTCGTCGTCGTCTGCTCCTTCTGCAGCGGCTGACCGCGCGCCGCTCGCCTTGGGTGTGACGCAGCCGGTGTTGGCGGCTGGAGCGTCATCTTCCGCCCCCGGCGCTGCCGTTGCCCGGGCGCCGCTCACGGCCGTCTGGATCGGCCGGAGCGCCGCCAATTCAGAGATTTCCGTGACGTCGAGGCCCATCGAAGCTGGTGCGCGCGCGCAGATCCCACCGCTGCTCTAGATCTTCTGCCAAGAGAGCCACGTAGTAGTTTATGCGAGAGAATTGCCTGAGCTGGGGAGCTTGCCAGTAGTGTGACTGCTTGCTTGTGCTGTGCTGTGCTTGTGCGTGGTCTTTTGAAGGAGCGTGAAGGAGGAGGAGGGAGGGAGGGAGGAGGCAGGCGTCGTGGAGGTGATGATGGAGAAGGGTAACTTGGCTAAATAAGTAAAGGAGAAGCAAGCGAGGAACAGAATTATATGCAAGCAACAACCCAAGGACGGGCGCATGTTAAATAGATCATCGCTCATGGCCATGGGAGAGAGAGAAAATACACTCCACTCTAGCTACACACTGTCTTGAGAGCCACTCCACTCTGCATGCATCGACGCATCGTCCTTTTTGCCTACTACGACTCCATGTGCCCGGATCATGCATCGTATCAAGCGGAGCTTTTGGATACTGGATGTACCAGGTGGGAGATGGTTGTTTGGATATCTATAACCGATTTAGATGGTGGTTCGGTAATAGGCTAGGTGTTTAATTATCTAGTTTTATTTTAGCCGGTTGTGGCAAATTTTATCTTCTTTTAGTTTTGAGCTTCGAGCATATTTGTACTTCATCGGAGACCTTTTTGAATCTTTTATTTAATAATATGGCTACATGCATCGTTCTGATAACTAAACACCTAGCCTCGAGCATATTTGTACTTCATCAAAGACCTTTTTAGACCTTTCGCTTAATAATATGGCTACATGCATCGTTCTGATAACTAAACACCTAGCCTCGAGCATATTTGTACTTCATCAAAGACCTTTTTAGACCTTTCGCTTAATAATATGGCTACATGCATCGTTCTGATAACTAAACACCTAGCCTCAAGCACATTTGTACTTCATCGGAGACCTTTTTGGACCTTTCGTTTAATAATATGGCTGCATGCAACCTTCTGATGCAGAGACCGGGGGTAATCCTCCTTTTCCAAAAAAAAGATCGCAGAGGCATGATCTACCATGTTCCATCTCTCTCTCCACCATGATCTCTCTCTCTCTCTCTCTCTCTCTTGGAGAAAAGGGTTAAATACGGATCAGGAGCAGCATGAAGCAGAAGGATGCCGGCAGGCAGGGGCCGGAGCCTGAATTTTGACAGCCCCAGGGTTAATTTCTCTGTACCCTCTCGTACCCTCTTCACAGGTGCAGAAGGATGTTTACAGCGGCACAGTGAAGTTAAACTCCAGGACATCCATGCACATGCACTATTGGAGTAGTAGGCAAAAGGACGATGCATGATATGTATTGCTATGCAGAGTGGAGTGGTTCTCAAGACAGTGTGTAGCTAGGAGGACAACTATGTTAATTGCCGCCATGTGTATTGCTTGTTTAGAGCAGATGGCTCCCATGATCCCATCAATTTTGCGTAGCTGGATGCTTTATGTCGTGTGCTATACACATGCATGGATCTGTCCTATTGCCACCGACTAGAAACTAGTACTATACTCAGCAGATTTTCAGGCAAAATTAGTACTGCTGCAAAAAGATGGAGATTGGATTACAGACAACATTTTATAAACAAACGATGCATGAATGAGGATGCAGGAATCCAATGCGTCAAGTTGCAAAGGCAGAAAAATGGCGATGCAAATAGGAGTTAGCTAGAGGGTGGCTGGTTCACGTGGCTGTGTCATACTGTCATGCATGGCTCATACTAGCGGGCTGTAGGTGCTGGTGCATGCTTCCTCTCTCACGCTTAAGGCCTTTCCTGGGGACCACTGGCAGGTAGGCCCCACGCCCTTTGCACAGCAGGCTGCACCATGAGGCAATAATTTTGCAGTAATGCTACACCTACGTAAGGATTCCTATGTAATTAACTAACTGATTAGATGGCACATTTTAATTTAGAGAAAATAAGTGAAGGGGCCCCACCCCCGGTTGAAATCAGGGGGGCGAAGAGATGAGTTAAGGCATGTTACGTAACTTCACGTAGCTCGTACGTAGATCTAGCATTTTTATAATCTTGCACCGCTAGATCATCCCACCCCGATGTCAGAGCATCTACAACCAACCCCTCAAATTCGTCTTAAACACCCGGGCAGGCCGTCCGGTCGCTGCCCGGTTACGATTTTTCTGGTTCAGACGGGCCTCTCAAATGCCTGGGCTGACCGCACCCCCCATATCCAGCCCAAATATGGGGCGGCTATGGGGGGCCTGGGCACGCCTGCCACGTCAAACCCTACAGTCCGACCCTACTCCAAATTACACCAAATCCATCAAACCCTTCCTCCTCCTCCATCCGTCCTCAGACCATTCTCGCACCCGGACCTCCACCCTTGCTCCCAATCCTCACCTCCGGCCTCGATTCACCACCGGAGATGTCGTACTGCCCGAGCCACACCGCCACGACGGAGACGCAGTCCGCCTCGTCTGTCGGAGGCGCGGTGTCGGCAGCGGCGACTTGCAAGGCGGAGAACATCGCCTGCAAGTTGTGGTGACGCCGACAGCGAGAGAGGGAGGCGGCGGCAGCGTCGCAGGGAGGTTCGGACATGGTGGAGCAGCTGTCTCCTGCGCTGCGCCCGGATCCCCGCACCCCTTCCCTCTGAGCGCCTACGCGGATTACGCTGTCCGCCCTCTTTGGGACACAGGATGATCCGAGCGCCGGCTGGGCCATTCCGGAGAGCTTTCCGCCCACGCAGATGCCGACGGTCGACATGTGTGACTCGCCGCAGCTCATTCGGGCACGGAGCCAGTGACCCAAGGTCATCTGTCATGCTCGGACATTGATTTCATTTTTTCATGTCCGATTTGTTAAACTATAATTTGCTTTGCTTTGTTTCGAACTTTGGCATTCAGACAATTTGTATCGTATAATCGACGTGTATGGATTGTATGGATTCGAGGATTGAAATTTACAGTATGTGAATGTGCGGGCGGACGCATCTGGACGCGTCCGCGAGCGTTTGAGAGGCCGGATTTTTACCTAAGTCCGGTTATAGATGCTCTCAGCCAGCCGTCAGATGGACTGCACAGCCTGCAATGAGTCCCATCGTTTCGTTCTGCATACTCCGTGTCAATTTCAGAGCCACTGCAACAGGAGAATCTTGTTTGAAGCAGCGTAATCTTTTTCAATGAGAGGACGGCCATTTTAATTTCTTTTCTTGATAAAAAAAGACAGCGCGCAATAAAACTTGCAAATAAACGTACGTACGTATTATGGCGTACCAGAAGCGCAGGCAGGACGTAGGGCTCCCCTTGGGATCGACGGTCAGCGAAGGGAAGCGTGCGGCGCAGACGCATCCTCCCCGGCCGTTTTCAGCATGTGCATGCATGCAGCTGGTCACGTACGTAGCCACGTAAACTAGGCCGGCATTCAAGCTGACCTGCAAAATTTTAATGGCCGCCACGCTGCCGTGTCCGGTGACAGAAACGGAGGGGGGCACACCGCACACAACGCTCCTGCTGCATGCCCGATCTCGCTCTTGCATCGAATAGTGTAACATATTTATGTGAATTTTGCTGTTTATATATAAATATATCTTGCGATCTGCTGCGGCATGTGTGGATGGTCGATCTGTAGCCACTAGTCAGATGTGCAGACCAGGATTACAGTGGCTGCAGAAACAAAGAAAAGGAAAGGAAAGAAAGAACGTGGAGGCTGGAGCTTCTGGGTTTCAGTGTCACTATCTGCCTCGCAGTCAAAATGAGGCTTTTTTCACAAAGAGAGACACACCGTTAAGTGTCAAAAGCAGCTAGTGTGCTCTTTCTGCCTCTAGATGCCTCTCTGCCGGCTTCTGCACAGACCTGCTTGGGCACATGCATGCCAATACCCTGTGGTATTTATTTATTTTTTGCTGCCAAGGTTACTCAAAGTGAGGTTAATGCTGACGTAAATAAACAAACAAGTTAGCTCTACGCCTTAACTACATATGGACCAGTAGTACGTAGTACGTACACTATGGCTATCTAGGTCTAGGGATGGCAGTTTTGCATGGGTAACCACTGGTACTCTACCCTCAAACAGCACACATGAGCAAGACTTGGTGAGATTTTATGACCACAGTAATGGGTATCCCGTAAAATATATTCTTAGGGCATGGGTATCAAATTGCGTCCATGAATATCTCAATGTGTACCTAGAAAAAGAATGAATAAATGGAATATGACATGTAACGTCCATATCCAACTCCTATGGGCCAATCTAAACACCTTATTCCTCAAACCGACAATAGCCCATAGGCCCGCATGCACTAGCTCGCGACTCCTTCTATGTCCTATGTGACTCCTTGAAATGATGATATCTCTACTCATCACCACCAAACTCTTGTCCAACTCTTGATCCAGCGATCCCCAATTCACACCTCTACTTCCCACTGCACCGGGCTTCCACCAACCGCAGCTCGTACTCCTTTGTTGCCTCCAAGAGGCCACCACACTGGAAGAAGCCGTGTCGGTGCTAGACCGCTCGCCAATCATCGCCTGAGTTTTACACCCATTTCCCTGTTTTTTTCAAAATCTAGATGTTATTTATTGTACCCATGGGATACCCATTATGTGTTGGATACCCGATGACATGGGCATGAGTATCAAGCTGTCTCCTTGGGTATAGAAGTGGATGGGTATAGAAGATTTCGATGTGCATGGGTTTAGGCAGAAGGGGGTTATACCTACGCATACCTTACCCATTGACATCCCTTCTAGGAGGACAAGAGGGATAGAATGCAGAAGTGTGGTGCTTGCTGTCAGTCTGGCAAAATGATGGAGGAACTAAAATCAAAGTAATGAATGAACGTAGATAAGTAAGTAATGTACGTGGGAGTACATTCGAAATTCAAAGTACATTTGCCTCCAAAATTTTGACGTTTCCCTTGGCCCTTTTTGCATGGAAGAACGGAATTAGATGGCCTCCCTGAATGAATAAAATCTGCCCATGCATCTGCCATAAATGGCGTGGGGTTGAGATGCTTCTGTGGGTCTGCCATAAATTAGATGGCCTC